TCTCATCTCGTAGTCCGTGATGGTCACACACGGAGCCAAAGTTCTCTGCGACGGTGGGTCCCTGGTGTAGTGCATGGCACCTACCTCACTAATGGCACGGCTCCGAGCCTACACATGAAATGAAACGTCCAAACATTTCTCAGGCTGTGAACTTCGACGTGTGAGCAAAGAACACTCAAAAGGAACACAACAAACCTGCTGACCGAAGCTGAGTCCAGCAAGATGCAGGCATCACCGCGACTCCGCGACCAATGTTCATCTCGGGCGCAATCTCCCTGCAAAGAACAGGGCCCTATATTCCAAAACCTCGTACACGATGTGAGACCCACGGCCCACGCGCCGATCTCGAGTGCCGTGATCTCCTGTCCTATCCCAGATCCTCGGCGCCAGTTCCCATCCCGGGTCCAGCGCGGCCACTGAATGATTAGTTGCTTCGCAGGGATATCCACGAACTCCAATTTGTACACGGGTTCGCTGTCATGACTCACATCACCAACCTTCAAAGGGTGTCGTAGCACCTCGCCCACTGGGCGTTGCTGCAGCCGTCTCGAACGAGACGCAAAAAGCCCTGGTTGACGCACAGATCTTTACCTTTTTTTCGTGAATGTAATCTTTGCCAAGACTGCTTGTGGCCTGATCTGACTGAACTCTTAAAATCAGCGGCGCTGCGATTCTGGTGTTCTCTGACAAGGATCTTCCTGTCTCGACGTCCTTCGGCTCAAGCCTCTGCGATCACCGCAGCTTTTGCGCTCCAGCTGGGGATTCAGATTCGAGCCTGGTCGGACCGTAGTTTCGCTAGCAGCCGCAATTGCCAGGTCAACAGCCTCCCATACCTCAAAGTGGCTGTCATTCAAAGCTGACATCGGGGGCATCTACTTAACAAGCTCCACCCTAGCCAAAAACTGCTGCGAAAGCTAGTATCTGCGTCCAATCAGTTTGCAAGCAATAATGACGCGCAAGTCCTGCCTGCAGCGCGCACCAGAAATTGTCTTGGCCCGTCTGGAGCAGAATTTTTGTATGACGCAAGCGCAGAGCTGCTAGCTACCCACATTGACTCCATGGTTCATTCATGTTATTGTCTCAGCAAAACACAAAAAAGAACTGTGTATGGAAATTCGAGACGAACAAGAGCTCACGTTGCGGAAGATATCGCTTGCCCTTGAGATCCCGTGTCAGGTCCCTCAGTAGGGCGCCCTTAAACCCCAGTGCACACCAGCAGGCAGTGCAATCAATCATCGACCTCCTCCTTCAGCTGCAATCGCATCATTCGTGTCCACTGCTTCAGCCATAACTCCTTGCATACTCAGAGCTGCAACAAGTCTTGCCATGAATGCACTGCTCGTCGTCGGCTGAACATAGTTCGACCCTATAGTCAATATTTTCCGAATCTTATCACGAGACAAGGCCTTCATGCCTACCGCAGCATTGCCCGCCTTTGATTTCAGACCTTTCAAATGCTGTGCTCATGACAGACACACGTCAAGATGACGGTATCTACCCCTTCCTTTCCGAGGTATCATTCTTTTGAACCGCTACTGTTGACTATTGGAACACAACACCGAATCATGACAATGCGCCAGCCATCCTTTCCATCAGCTCTTCCAACAGCGCAGGTTACGGTGAGGCCATTGTCTCGGCCTCACAACTGCTCAGAGCTATGCGTCGCTTTTGTCTGGAAATGGATCAGGCTTCCGTTCAAGAAGATCACGCCGCAACTTACGCTCATGCTGTGACGACGCGTTTGACCAGCTGCCCAATCCGAATCCGAACCAATTTTGACCAACGGCTTCTCCTCGAAAAACATGTCCTCGCTCGGGCTTCTCTTGCCAGTTGCTGCGCGCCTCTTGAAATCACAGCTATTTCATAATCGTCGAAATCTGTACTCCGCCTGCCATGACTGAGAACGTTCTGTTCAAGAAGCGGATCGATCTTTCGCCTTCCACGCGCAGTCCTTTGACCTGAATCTTTAGATCTTCGCCTTGCGTGCCAAGTCACGAAAACCTTCTTTTGCCATGTACACTTCAAGTCATCCGCGTGCGACAAGGTGATGATGCCTGCCTTCTGCTTCTGCCGGCAAACCATCGTGTGACTTCAGTACTACAATCTTCTGCAACTTGTTGAACCATGCAGTCGGTCCTGCCCTTTGACCTGGCAGTTGACGTGTAGCCCAACTCGTAGTACTTCTTGTCAACTTTGAGTAGTGTTGGCTTTTCTTGTTCTACCTCTAGATACGCATCGCCTATGTCAACGCCGTCAAAAAGCAATCTTCGGTTGCGACGAAGAGGTTGATTGTGGAAGCTGCCTGTGGGTGAAAACAGCGATGAGAGATCGTAGGGAGTGCTCGCTTGAATGCTGCTAATCGGCAGGAGGATTGTGACCGACAGTGCTCGGGCAGGGTCATGCAAGGTGGCCGCAATCGCAGCGATGCCCGAGTGGCTCGCCAGAGGATTACGTAGAAAGGCTGAGGATCGCCTGTCACGGGCTTTTGGGTGTTCTGCTCGGGTCTCGAATGTGAACGGTCTCTGCCTGGACGCTGCCAAGGAGGTAGAGGATTTACGGTTTCGGGCCGGGTAGAAGGACAGGGTACCTCCCATGGACCTCCAAATGCTATTGGTAATCTACCAAACCCTTCATGAGCCAGGTAAGGTCCGTGAGTGTGTTTGGATCTTCCTATTCATGTGAGCTAGAGTCCAATCTCCTTCAAGGGGGTTTATAGGGGATGACAATGATAGGGCTTATGGCGGGGGACATGAGGAGTTTAGATTGTAGCTCCTTTGGGTTCTGGAAGATGGTTTTCAAACAGGGGCGAATGTGTCCTTGAGAAGCCCAAAACCCCAAAATCCTACGCACTACTCTCCCAAACCATACTCCCTGCGCATTAAACGCTAAAACCCTAAACCTTTAACCTACATCCGAAGCCCCAGTAGATACCTATTCAAGGCTGCGCGTTCTCCCTGATGCTGGGCCGCACTATGATATGCGTATGTGGACACGCGATGTAGGGTTTAGGGTTTATAGATAGGGCATGAACCATTGAGCTTGGACTTGGGTGTAGGATTTGGGAGGTAGAGTTTAGGGTTTAGCGTCTACCGAAACCCCGAAAACCTAAACCGCGCTTCGTGCAGCAGCTCAGCCACGACGGGGTCGCTGTGGAGGACGCCGATGAGTTGCGCCCCGTTCCTTACAATCTCATTGTGGCAGAGCATCTCAGGAGGTGTCACGCTGGGGCCTGGGTTTCTAGAAATAGAGAAAATAGGAAACATGTATTTGCTGGAAGCTTAGGAATAGGCAGGGGATAGGAATCGCGCGATTATATAATGTAATGTGCGTAGTATGTTACATGTTAGAGCTTTTATTATGGTATTAGGGTTGATAAACTCTATCTGGGTTTATAAGCCCAGGGAGGGGGTAGGCACTTCTCCAACATAAGCTAACTTCCCCAAGACTCCCCACCCCCGCCTCGCTGCTCAGGTGACTTCGACACCATCATCATCTTCTTCGGCTGATGGTTGTTGTAGTTGTTGTATATTGATTCTAGGATGGGATGATAATTTCATGACTGCTGTATGTTGTTTCATATATAAGGTCTTATATAAGCATAGGTTTGAAATGGCATAGTTACAAGGCTGTTGTATGGTTTAGTAACATCATTAGGCTCGGTATGCTTAGTTTATATAGAAAATTTCAATTATACTCTTATTATTTACGCGCTATATGTAAACACGATAGGGTTTATAAACCGGCTTTGGGTTCATGAGCCCATAGCGTTCCATATCACGTATCTTTATGCGCCTCGGCCGCATTAACTTTTATTATCACTATTCCGCTATTCTGTGCACAAAAGAAGTCAGCAAATCCATGTTGATGGTATGGTAGCCATTAAAGGTTCCAAATTCGAATACTTGTAGGCTCGTAGCTGTAGCGTATACTACTGGGGGCCATGCAAGAGGTTAGATGAAGCTGGAGCTATTGAACATGAACCTAGTTTCCACGGAGTGCACTTCCAAAGAGTCTAGCCAGTGCACACCACCGCCTACTCCAAAATCCTTGCAGGACTAGGAACTAGTTGTTGCAAACACTATGGTGGTGCACGATACCAAGAAAGGGCTGAATCTCAAGCAGATAGCCATTCACTTGAACTATCTCCAGCGTCTCCATGGCCTTAAGACAGGCAAAGATAGAGAGTGGAATGCTGCAGCGCAGGAACAACTAGTTCGGTGGTTTGCGGCTCCACGTCGTGGCAGCAGCTCCTCTAGTATCTCGGCCAACCAGCTCGCGTTGAACAACGAGCCCGCTAACAATGTTGACGAAGAGCCCTGAGAAGCCCACATCTAGCACCGAGCCTCCCATCAAACCTGACGAGAATCCAACGTCTAGCACCGAGCCTCCCACCGAGTCAAAGGACGAGCCCTCCCACAACGAGTCAAGCTCTTCGTCTGCCAGCTCTACTACTTCTTCGTCTACCTTCGGCTCATGGACAAGCGACTGGCATGACATGCGGGTGTCGTGTAATTTCCTCTACAATGAGACGGCAGGGAATCTGAAGCGGAGTAGGATTGTTCAGAACCTTAAGAAGCGGGCCAAGGATGCAAAGTCCAAGTGGCGAGGCTGCCTAATTGGGCTTGTTCAGCGTTAGTTGCTTCCACTTACTGCCGTAATCGGCTGGCTGCTTCACCTACATGCTCGGCGCTGCCTGAATCGGCTTACTGGGCTCTAGTTGTTGCCACCTACTTGCTCAGTGCGTCTTCGTAAAAAAAGTTCTTGGTGCTTGTTGTGCTGCTGCCGATGTGGGGCCGCTCATCACGTGTAATGTGTCGGAGATGGCCCTAGGCTCAACATTATATACAACAACAAGGTTTTATAAAACTCGGCTTGGTTTATAAACCCTTGTTGTTGCTATACATATAAACTTTATCTTCCACAGGCCCTCGTTTCATCAAGCCCTCGTGCTTCCTGGTTCATCGCTCTTCCTGTTAGCTATGGAGGCCTTGCAGGAGCGCATGGGTGCGGCCCAATCTACGTTCGTGAAGTTCAACCCCGAGCACGCCCACATCAAGGTTGACGAAGGCCCCTGCTTTATCTCTGATCTTCTTCCTGTGGTGGAGATACACGGGAAAGGCAAAAAGTTCAAGGAATTTTTCCGCATAGTCGACAATGTTACCAAAGACGATCAGGACGCAATTCGCAAGTCTATGGAAGAGGATCCTACTTCCATAGCGAAGCTGCCACCTTCCGTTCAGCCCGGTGATGCTCTAGGTGAGTCGTGCCACTACCGGATTGTGTTGGATAGTCGTCGCAACAAGGTGCTCGTGTTCTTCCACTCCACTGCAGCTTTGCCATGGGGAGTCTGGGGAGTCGTACGGGTTTTCTGTAAGGACAAGGTGCATGTGCTCAACTACAAGGTAGCCAGTAACTCCGACCACGTCAAGTGTGCCTTCTTGGTCATGCTCTCGAAGATCCCTGGAGATCAATGGTTGACCCAGTTGCTTGGCAATAAGGTAGTTCGCCGCAGCAGGGCGTCCTCAGAGAAAGAGTCCTCGTGGGATCCATCTCCTGACGACCTTCGTACGGGTATAGAGTACATCAATACATGTGCCCCTATAGCTAACAGCAAGAATGAACAGTTTCTCTGGACGCTTCTCAACGTGAGACACAACACCTCGCCTATATACGGCTGGCCCCTTCACACTGTGAGTAAGGCCCCGCTAATTCTGGAAATTGCCAAGCGGAGCCAGAGTTCTTTTTTCCGCTCTTATTCGGTGACTTGCGCAAGGCCTTTGTGGATAAGATCGTACCTCTTGTTGTGCCCCGCATGACCAGTCACGGCTTGATCCTCCTCGGCAAGCCTGGTATCGGTGAGACGCCCCTCGCCATTGTTCTCGCACTTGCAGTGTCCAGACACTTGGTGGTAGCCCGGGGTCTACAGGGAGTCATGATTGGACGGCGGCGCCCCAAACAAATTGATGGTTTCCGTGAGAGACCCTGTGAGGTGCAGGTGCCCGTGCTCTTGGACGATCCTTTGCTTGTTGAGGACATTAAATCCTTCCTGACGTTGCCGAGACGGGCCTTGTCGACGCTAGGTACCGCGCTGCCAGGTTTGTTCGCAATCAGGTTCGCATTCTTCTTAACAGTGAATGGTGTCACGACAAGGAGCCCGACCTTCCTTATTATGACCACATTGGCTAATAAGTTCTTTGCAGCCAAAACACTTCTCCCGAACCAGAAGCCCCGCGCGCACTTCAAGCCTGATTTCTCTAACTTCGTTTCCATTCCTTCATATTCGCCCGCTGCAGGCGTTAATTAAGTAGGGTCAGGATTTCCTCAATCCTTGCATCGATGCCCGGGAGGCTCAGATCCAGAGTGCTGTAAAATTATGACCACATTGCCTGGACAAAATTCCACGACATGTTCGCCCCGGCCGTGAGCAACGCGTCCAATCCACATCTGTGGTTCTTGCCGGCAGCAAGGCCGTTTACCTCAGGCTTCCATGAAGTGAGCACCAGTCGGAGCGAATTTATCGATTCGAAAGCGGTGGGCTCACGGAGGATTGGTTGCAAGAGAAGAACAAGCCCTACTACGGCATGTACAAGGATGGTATGTTTGTGAAGTATCTAGGGTATGAAGATGCTCTGGAGAAGGAAGCGGAAGCCACGCTCCTCTCGGATCTTCTTGCTTTCCCTGAAGAGAAAGAGTACATGTGCCGGGGTGCCACCTATACGACAATTGGGCAGCAGATTACGGCAACACCCATGAGCCCCATTGCGCCCGCCAGGGATAGAGCGTCAGGGTCAGCCATGCCTTCTGGATTTTCCGGAACAAGTCCATTGTTACGGTCTCGCCCTTCCAAGGTACCCAGGACATCGTCTCCGGATGCCACTCAGGTTGCTCCAGAGAATGACCTTCATGCTGATGAAGAGGCAGCCCGTGATCTTCACCCCAATGATTCTGAGAACTAAGTGATCGGGTAGACTTTGTGTCAAAAAAAATGTACATGGGCCTAGGAGAGATCGTTCTCATTTTGCTATAGGCCTGGACTTCCGCGCACATGGACTCACGTGCTCTCATCTGAAAATGAAGAAGTATACGGGCGTATGCAGATGCTACGGTACTGCTGCTGTGGATTCGCGGGTCACATGCTCTTGTAATCTTACATGGTGATCAAGCATAGCACCTGGTTTAGCCGGGTACACAGGGGTGTACACGCTTGATAGCTATGCAGAAGCTGCCGGCAGCATGCTTGGAGGAGCCACTGGTCTTCCGCACCCATCTTTGCCAGTGTACGTGTGGTGGTAGTCTTTCGCAGTCCCATGATGTTCCAGCAACCCTCTACTCCATGGACGGCAAGGACAGTGTCCGCGTGGTGACAATGCGGTGCACCACCTACTCCTGTCGCGCAACCTTTGGTCCTAACTTCCGCTACGACGCCTCCAACAAGATCAACACGGCCCAGCCGGCAGACGTCATAAAAGCAGGGGCCCTCTTTGTCAACAACAAGGTCGGGTTCAGCGTATCCTGCTTGGAATACCACTCCCACCTCGAGTTTCGATCCTTTGTTGCTGCCATGGCAGTACAGGATGTGTGTCGGCACACCTTTGGGATCAAGAATATGGAGCAATCAGAAACATATTCTCAAGAATGTCTTCATTGCTCCCAAGAAAGCCAAAGTCCTTGAAGTGGTGGCAGACGGCCATTCAAAGGTGCACGTGGCCGGCGCAAATGCCAAGCGCCATGCTGGCAAACCTCGTCCAGATCGGCTGCCCAAGACTTACAGCCGCGGACCGCGGATGGTTCATGGTGGTGAGTGATCCCACCGACCAGAGGATCTTGTGGGCAAAGCCCATGTATGAGCCTGAGGGCAACGCAGTGCTGGAGGAGGCCATCAGCGAGATCCTTCCTTCGTACAAGAACCTCGATGGTGTGTTGGTGGATCGGGCATGTTCCTTTGTTCCTCGCGCTTCCACTCTGAGAAAGCTGAAGCAAATTAAGTGTTGGGCCGTAGATGGGTTCCATGCGCAGGGGCATACGAAAACATTCAAGTGCAGCCTAAGATTTCAGAGAAGGCTCGCTAAGAGATTTCGTAACACGAACACTAGCGCGGCCGAACAAGTCTTCAGCTGGTTTCGCAATTACTCCCGTATTCTCAATGAGGCCGGGCCTCTTCGACACTCGTTTAAGGTCTTGCTGTTTTGTAAGAAGCACAATGAGGCGGTTGAGAACAAGGCAACCGGGTACTTACGGAATAGAAAGATGATCTCCAAGCCGCGCAGCTGTAACAAGAAGGCTGATAGCAGACGCTGAAAGCTCTGCATTCCGAAGGCTTGGAGCTCCAATGCTTGCCATAGCAGAGAGAGTACGGCATTTACCGTCCACCTTGTGAAAATGAATGCTATCATGCACCTTGTGCAAGCTGCAATAGCTGACTATGTACTATATTATTATATTGCTCCATGTTCCTTTCGTTTGCACAGCCAAGGTATCAACTATGGATCCTGTGACGTGGATCAGGGATATCTTAGTGTATAACCCACAAAATAGCCTGTATGCAAGAACCAGGCCCCAGGACGACACGCCCTCTATAGATAGGGCATGAACCATTGAGCTTGGACTTGGGTGTAGGGTTTGGGAGGTAGAGTTTAGGGTTTAGCGCCTACCGAAACCCCCAGAACCTAAACCGCGCTTCGTGCAGCAGCTCAGCCACGACGGGGTCGCTGTGGAGGACGCCGATGAGTTGCGCCCCGTTCCTCTGCAGAGCAGACAGCACAGCTGGCAGCCATGGCACGAAAGGGCGCTCAGATCGCTGTCGAAAGTATGCTGCGCCTTCCAATGAGCCCCGATGTCGTTCAAGGTGGGATGTCTGGTAAACAACAAACAAGGAATGGCTTGGGTTCGGGAGGCCTTCCGCCAATCTCCCAAAGGCTTGCCCAAACGCCCGGCCTCCCATGGTCTGAGGCCCCTTTCCCCCCTCCTCTCCCATTGAAATTCCGAAAATAAGGACCTTAAAGTTTCGCGACGTTTTGAACAAAAATGATGGCTTCCACAGCAATAACTGTGTTTTCCTTTGCGCTCGCATATAACAAGTTCCCGCTTCGTTCCGGAACATCGCTTTGCCTTCTCCTTTTCTGTAAACACGTCTTCTTATTTCGGCGGGCGACGGCATCCTCATATTGTCTCACTTAGATTCAGGTCAAACAACGCATGTGGGGTTTTCCGGCCTTTTAATTTTGGGGGTCTGCTCAATAAAGCTGAACGTTACAAAAAAGAGTACCCGTATTCTGAAGGTGTTACTCGGGAACCTAGCATGCAACACTTGTAAAAAGATACCTAGGCACATGAGGCACTAGGCCAAAACTAAAATGACCCCAAACCCTAAACCCTAAACGCTATGTAAGCCCTAAACCCTAAACCCTAAACCGTTATTGTTGGAAACTTCGGGCTACGGTGTCTCAATGCAGGAGTTGGCGCTTCGAAGGATCAACGGGCTGTTCATTTTGTGATGTTTCTGCCGCTGTGACATTTCTGCTACCGTTGCTGTTGCTACGGCAATTACTGTTACCAGTGGAAAATAGAAGTATTACTACTACTGTTGCTGTTACGACTACTAGTCACTAGTATTCCTGGTAGTAGTGAGTAGCAGTAGTAGCAGTCGTAGTAGTAGTAGTACTAGTGCTGTTGCTGCTGTCCTGACTCGTCCTAACGAAGTTTTGTTCCGACGCCTGTTCCTCTTGCTACGGCTGTGCCGCTGCCAACCACCGTCGCCACTCCTCCACCATCGCCGCCGCCACGACCTCCTCTTCTGTTGGACAGTCTGAACTCATTTGCTTCTGTTGAGCTTAGGCTGAGATTCGTTCATAAGTCTAAAAGAATTGCAGGGCAACTTCCATGTAGGGACCTTATATAAGCCATCTACACCCAAAAGGCAACTCCCCATTGGCGGTATATGCCATTATGATCCATTATGTACCTTTTATATAACGTCTATCCATTAAAGACTCTACTCTTATGGCTGGTTCGAATTAAGCGAAGCATAAATACAGCCTTAAAGCTTAGGGTTATAAATAATCCCCCTTAAGTAGATCGAATATGGCTTTGGGTATACTATAATAAGATCCCCATGTACCCCATATTCTATGTACTTAAGGGGGTCTGTACCTCGGCTTTCAGCTTGAGAGCAGGGGTTGCAGGCTTTGCGGCTTTTGGGTATTAATTTCTTGCAATCCCCGGAAAGGTGAAAAATTCCCCAAAGGCCTAAGGATTTACTTGGGGTTTGAAATTAGTTTGCTTCCGCTTTGCTGTGGCTTTTGGGCTTTGGAAATGTGATTCTAGCCCCAAGAGCTACGGACCCAATAGCATAGCCGAAGCTGTTTTTGCCCTAATCTAAGTAATGGCTATTCGGGCTATAGCCTCCATTTGTGCCGCCACTACCATAAACCCTGAGTCCTAAACTTTAAGCCCCACATCTTAAACCCTACGTCCTAAACACTTAACCCTAAGCCCTAAACATATTGTCCAGGTTGGTTGGCGCACCTGCGCACGCAGAATCACCATCGGTCAGGGCGAGACACGACGCGTCCGCTGTGTCCTGGCCGCAGATTTGTTGGATCTTCTGTGTCTAGAATTCGTGCTAGGCGGAATGTGCAGGAAGTGAAGGAGGGCCTTGCAAATTATTATAGTCCTCCTTAAGTAGATAGACTATGGCTTTGGCTATTTTATTAGATGATCCCCATATACCCCATATTCAATCTACATAAGCAGAAGCTCCTGATTTTGCAAAATGTTTACACCGGGTTTTAAGCCGCATGTTGAGACTTGAGAAGCCGAATCCATTTCCAAAATTGTTCTCTCACAATCCTTCTATAAATATAATATAGAACTTATTAAATACATCCCCAAGCCATGTTCTAATCATGTGATGCCAGATTCCGTTTTGTTGTTGATTTGTTCTTCCAGTGAGTTGGCCGTCAGCTAGTCAAGCCATCAGACACCAAACGCTAAACCCCAGAAGCCTCAAAAACCTAAACTCCAAACCGTACACCACACCCTGACTCCTGTTCTGGTCATGTAGGCCGCTGTGGTAGTTAAGAAGAAGGGGTGGGCGGCGTCCGGGCCATTCAGTCAGCTTCCTGCGACGATTGATTCTCAAAGCGTGTAGAATTCAGGGTTTGGGGTATGCGGGTTTAGGGTTCAGGGATTGGGGTTGACGAATTGGGCTTTAGGTGGGTTTAGGGTTCAGGAATTGGGGTTCAGGCGTCGGGCTTCAGGCATTAGGGTTTACAGTAAGGTTTGAGGAGTGAGTGGGGTTTCGAATCAGCATCATAGGCGCATCCCTTGGGAATGTGGGGAAACACCAAACCCTAAACCCTAAATAGTACTTTCCATTTTCCTTTCCATTTTCCAAATATAACCCCTATATAAAGACCAGGGTTTTCTCTCCCACGGGTTACAAGAGGGTCAACTTGAGCGACTGCGAGATTTGCAGGTTCATTTTTGACCATATATTCCCCCTTAAGTAGATATTATTTGGTGGAAGGTTTTAGGCTTTAGGGTTTAGGGTGAATAACAGAATATGGTAGTTTCCCAAAATAAGGGGACCCCATATAAACCCCCAAATACTACAGTCCTTCTTATGGGGACCCCCAAAAAGGTACCCTTAATGCTGGGAAGCCCTCAGACCCGTTGAATTGTGGGACTTAAGCAACAAGAAGTGGCGTTCGCACGGCCTTAACGCGAACCGCCATGATACAATGCTCAAAAACTATTCCGAAACCCTTTACCGTAAAACCCCAAATCTCTATAGGGCTTGCCGTGATATTTGTAGTTGTTCAGGTGTTTACGGCGTCCTTGCTTATCCCACTACTGAAGAGGACTTTACTGCTTTGCACCCATCCCTTACGAAATGGAGACCATGCTCCATAATGTAACAGCCAGATGAACTGCCCATGCCGCCGCCCTATACCCTTCATAAACATACAGTGAAATCTGCCGAAGACCCCACTTGAATCTAGGCCCTAACATTACAATCTGTACAGCCCTGTAAACCCCCAAGGCATGGCCCGTGGGAAAAAGATCACAATCTCCACTGGTTGGAATCGCGCGGAGCTCAGAGAACCCAACGCCCCGGGGGCAAAGGATTTTGGATGCAAAGAAGCTTCAGCACTTAGGGCCTGAGGGCCCATAGAGGATTTACATTGGGTTCAGGCGAGCCTACGGCGATCCTCTACAGTGTTTATAAGTGGTTGTATAGCGGGTTTCTAGGCGTCTTTACCCGGTCCCATAGAGGGTTCGAAGAGGATTCACCGGCGGTTTGGGCTTGAGTAAGGATCACGCAAGCTTACCGGGATCAAGCGAGGGGTTCGAGTTACCTGGGGTGCTATTAGTTTTTTGCCTGAGCCGATCCTATCACTGTTTGAAAACTGAGCGGGTGCCCCGTGTAATCCTTAGTATGTGGACCTTGAAAATGAAAAAGGTACCACCAAATTCTGGGAGACCGATTTAATTTAAGTCCTTGATCCCTACTGCCTATCCCCTAAACCCTAAACCATGACAGCATATGGAATCTCTGTACATCCGCACCTTGCCTCCTACTTTTCATGCTCTTACCCATTTGATTCTCCAGTCTGGTAACTTAAGCCCGGCACCCCACAGTAAGGGTAATGTAAGTCACATTGATCCACTTTCGGGCTGACACAGGTATTCTTCATAAGTTTGAAGGGCGGAGTAAACCCTTGACCCTTAAGCATATATTCCTAACCTTGAAGCCGGAACCTGTACCATTTAGCCCAAACGCTTCAGCCCGAAACCCCTACCCGGGAACCCTGAACTGCAAACCTGCACCTTGAACCCGAAACACGAATCCGCCCACCCAAGCCCTTGCACTCTCCACCCTTTAGCCCTGAGCCCGAGCCTGCAAGTTCTCAGCAAATATGTTAATGTCAAGGAACCTGAACTAAGTTAATGTCACACGGAAACCCCGCAATTTGCTATATACCCGTATTTGGGAACTTAATCCCTATAAAGCCCAAGCCCTAAACCCTAAACCCCAAACCTAAACCCCACACCCACAGCAACCCAGATTGAGGACCATCTGCAGAACTTGCTTTCTGCGGCCTCAAGGTCTTCGGGCAGAGAGGCGAGGTGAACAAGGCACGCTGTGTGATGAGGGTGCAGCATGCAAGGTTTGCGGGCTTAAGGGTTAAGTTTAGGGTTTAGGGATGACTTAAGGGTTTAAGGTTTAGTTTTTAGAGATGAGAGTGAAGATTTCAGGGATTAGGGTTTAAGGTTTGCGGGCTTAAG